ATTGATTTTGTGGATATTTTGTGCGCAAAATGATGGCCACATCCAAGAGGCGGTGATCCATTGCTTAAAGTTGTCACTGGTGCGCACTGGACTGGGACCCGAGTGCCACCTGCGCCACCCAATTTCATTTATCAGCGGTTTAATTTTAATTCTACCCAGCACATCTAATCTGTCTGGTCTCATTACTCCTACTTTAGACCGCCGGTATCAAACAGCTGTTTCTCGTGCCCGTGCCAAAATTATTCATGTGATCCCCTTCTTTTGCCGATCTGCAGCATCCTTTTGTTGTCGTATTCGGTTGATTTTTTATTCTATTTTCTATTGTATCAGTATCTTTTGTTCACCAGTTTATCGTAGCACAAATTGCATGTGAAACTGGTAAGTTATACGTTTAACGGATTGGGCTGTGGCTAACAAAATGCCCCATTTCGTGACACTTTTGTTTAAAAACACATTAACGCATCGTGATGTACGAATACTCCCTCCGTTCTCGATTTCTCCCCGTGTTTGATCTATGTCACTTCATTTATTCTCTGACTCAAATTCATACATTGCGTACCAACTTTCAACACTTACTTTACTCTGCTGTATCATTTCAGTATGAGCTATCTGATTAAATTTCACTACCTTGGGCTATTCTACACTTCTTTTCGGTTGCACTTATGCATGATAGAAGTTCTTCTCCTGTCATACTACGATTTCAATTCTCTCTCTATGTATAGTTGGTCTATTCATCAATATTCCAGGCTTAACTAATACAATCAAATGAGTTGATGCATCAATTCTCTATTGCATGTTTTTGCTCTACTTTCGGTTTCTGCCTTCGACGTACCGTTTGCAAACGGAATGCACATTTAGGGAGAATGATATCTGTTTATAAAATTGTGGAATTGTCAACAATAGATAAGTCGAGGAAATAGTCGAATCTGTCCACGCTATTTTTTTCACCTAGTGTCCGTAGCAGTAAACAAGCCCGATCCTGGAAACTACGAGCACAAATAGGACCAATACCCACACGAGATGAACCGTTAATCAAGGGTTTCACACCTTTTGTATGAAAACTGGCTGTTCACCGTTTCCCTTTCTCTGATAATTATCGGTACTCCAGGCCTTTTGGAGGTTTTTCAAGAGAAGTATATCCAACATATGTTCCTTATCGCATTCTATTTGTCTTCCGTACGTTTCACCTCTGAGCGGGTGTGAATAATTGCATCGCCTATATCTATCTTTCTTGCTTATACCAAATACTCGTGACTTGTTGCTTTCCTGTAAACAGAAAGTCTTTTGACTACTGCTCACAACAATCGTCATTTTAGTTTCTTTTCACTTTGCAAATAATTTTTTCTCTGGATGATCACTTAGTTTTGACCCAGGGAATTAGTTCGTAGCATTGCGTTAAGTGATCAGAGAAATGGTTGTATGAACACCCATTATCAGTATTTTAGAGCTCGTACGAGAGCCCTAACCGGTTTTGCAGATGTTAGACGAGGCTTGAAGAAATGCACAGGGAGCTTAGGTCTGGTCTGGTCTTTCAGTTTAGGATCCAAAAGACTCCATAATTGCGTCGGTGGAGACACTGAAAACGGGTGTATGCACAGTTGGACTGTTTACTCTGTGTATGACCATAGAGGTTCGCTTTCTTTTTCCGTCCCTAAAAGTAAGTCCAATCCCCATCCTGCTTACACGTTCTCACTTACCTTGCATGCATTATGAGTTTTCAACTATCAGTGAAATCCGCTTCACTGTATTACGCTATGCAATCACGATAATGGTCATGATAGGTATTTCATGCCCTCATACAAGGTCTCGCTGTGACCGCCTTTGACCTTTTTCCATCGGCTGTTTGACGCGGTAAACGTCGCACCCCGTTTATTGACATGCGCAACCCGTTTCCCAACCACTTGCTTTAGTGGACGATGGCGATTACCTAAACTCTGCGCCTAACCAAAGAATTGCTTGTCTGGTTTCTGCACCAGACTGGCGCAATGCGACGTAGACAGCAGTGTTCGAGCACCGACAATTTTTTTCTTTTCCCGTAATGCCGAAGTCTCTGCACCGTAGAACAGGACTGGTCAAGCTGTTGCAGCGTGTGCTCAACCCTTCACAGACAACCGGATGTCGTGGCGGCGCCATAGATCTCTTAATTGGGCACATATCATTGATCGATATATACACTTCATCCTGAAAATACTTTCTTCCGAGTTAGTGCATCATGTTTGTAAAAAGACTGTACTCCCTGGCGATAAATATCTCTGCACATAGATTTCCATTTGTTTCGTTGCTCGTTTAACCTGCCTACTTTTCAACTCCTCCACTCCCCAAACCTTCCCGCTCTCACCATGTCTTCCTTATCTAGCGTGCTATTACATGAAAAGCCTCGTGCATAGATACACTATTTTCCGTCACTTTTCGCTTTCAGCCTAGTTTCGAACGTATGGGACAATCGTTTGTTCATTCGATGGATTCACTTCCACAACATTCGATGGCACCATCCATGCCTGATCCCGCAGTGCCTCTTACTCGACTTCAACGCATGACCGATGTGATTCAGTATGTCCTTCATCTATGTCTAGTTTCAATTGCTGTTTTACCGACATCGCACTTATCGATGAAGAACTTAATTGCAATGGCTTTTTCAAGGTGGTACATTCATTCACTATACTGTCTCCTCCTGACTACATGACAACAATAGTCACAGTTATTCGAACCGTTCCTAATGCACTAGTCCTATTGCCTAGTTTCCGATTCGGCTCCTTAGGATTTCAGTTTCATCGAATAATCAAATCCTAATCATTCACAACAGTGAGCTTGTAATCATACTTTCTAATGTGGTAGACACGGTAAATTAGACACCATAGCCAAATGAATCGATGTTTTATTTACGGGAATGGGTCACTTAAGCTTTCCAGAATAAAATGGCCAATCTATTTCGGCCCCAGTGGAGTTTTTGGTGTGCTAATCCAGATGCTTGCCACTATGATGGTGTAGCACATCCCGGAGCTGCACCTGACCACCATTTACTAGACTCGATTCATGAGAATCTATTTATGTTCATAATGAAATAGCAATGATGGATTTAAAAGACCGTACTAAATTTGTCAATAATATTTACCCACTGTCCGCCCCTCTTTCCATTGTTTAGTTCAAGTGGCAGTTCGTAAAACCTGTGTATCGATGTCGCTAATCCGGTTTCACCGTATACTGTGTGATGCTCACTTTTTCACTTCGTGATTATACTTTAACAACTAATCACTTCAAACAGGAGCTCATCTAAGTACTGAAAGATCTTGATTTTTGAAAACTATTCACCGTATTGAAGACCAATACTCAGCAGTGGCATCAACTGGACCTCACGGAAACTGAATCATATATGTTCTCATCCTTGTTCTGTTCAGTTCAGTTTTTACAACCATTAACCATGCACTTTTGTGTGCCGGTTTTGGTTGCTGTTCTGTAACTGTCTATTTCCATAATTGGAGCAGACGGAAGAATGGAATGTTGCGGGTAGAGAAGATAAAGAATTCACATGGACTAATTTTGTGTATTCGTATAACATGTTTTGTGCATAACAAATGATTTTTCAAGCTTGCTGATTATAAAGGAAACGTTTCGTTTTTTACGTTGTGTCTGTTGGTAACAGATATTTATCAGAATCACGTCAAAGAACAAAATGTCATTAGTTTTCCGAGGAGCAGCACGTGGTATTCCATCGAGAAGTCGTGAAATTTACTTAAGAATAGGGGTTCTTGTGACGAAATTATTTATTTGCACTCTGGAATCATTTACAGATGTCGGAAGTGAGACTATGATTTCATGGAACGATCCCTTCTTCGGGGCAATAATTATACCAATCGCTGAGGTTGAATCTAGGGAGAAACGTAAAAAAGCATTTCTAAATTAATATTTTTCTCATATAGTACAACATTGCGGCAGTTAAAAATGGCATGTTATGCAATCAAGTCAGCGGTATCAAC